CCTGCGTTATTACGGAAATATGGACCTAAAGAAACCGAGATAGATGAGTGTAGTTTTCAATTGTGCAGCCGAATACCATTATCTACGTCTCAACTACTGCGTTCCTCAAGGACCACAATAGACATTGACAAAGATACTACGTCCTTTATATTTGGGTACGTGGCCGTGTCAAAATACTTACCGAACGCATTCACACTGCATCTCGTTTTTTTGTAAGCTAACCTAAAAGCAAATTGGTCTTGATTGCAGTAAATACTTCTCGCGAACGTATTCTTTTATTTTATCTTCCTTCATAGAGTCGAATCTGGTGAGTCGCCGCTCAAGGCAAGTACGAATGAATTTCTAGCTTACCTGTGACCATCAGTTTCAGTTTGTTCAAACATTAACCAAGCACATTCGTGCGCCGGTTTGGGTTGCCCATTTGGATAAAAGAGCGAAATAAAGATTGGAATGTCGAAGCAACTTCAAGCAGAAGATGGAGAATATATATAGAGTGGTGNCGAGTGGATGCACGAGCGCCACTGTTTGCGACGCCCAGCCATATCACTCAGTGTAGCTAACCATCATCCCGAGGTCCCCAGCCCGGGAGCCTAACGGGGCCTATGTGACCTAGTCTCCTGGTTAGAGTTTTCATACCCTTGTGCTAGGTCTTAGCTTGACCGCCCTTCGTTTTTTTTTCCAATCGCTACCGGCCTTGGCAAACAACGTTCGCAGTGGCAACCTATCTGGTGACATGCGTAGCACATATCCCAACCAGCGTAATCTATGGAGGTCGATCACTTGCTCTAGTGGACACCGCGTCAAGGTGCAGTCTCGTCGTGATGGTAAGTGAACAGTAGGACAAAGACAAACTGAAAGTAGAGTCAAGTAAAAATGGAGAATTTCAGTGGACTAATGTTGCAAAGAAATTGAAAAAATGTACGAACGCAACCGTTCACGACACAGCCGGATCACTCTCAACATCGGTTACGATCATCCCAAGGTCCCCAGCCAGGGAGCCTAACGGTACTTATGTGACCCAGTGTCCTGGTTTCAATACCCTCTTACCGGGTCTCAACTTGGCCATCATTGGTTTTATTCCGCCTGCGCACGCCGTGGCAACCCTTATGATGGCATGTGTAACAGAATCAACGTAATCTATGGAGGTCAAACGTTTGCTCCAGCGGACGACCCCGACTACCTAAAACTCTACGCCTAGCCTCAGTATTACTCTTCAGGGTGCCCCACCAAATTCGAGCAATGCTGCGTAGACAGCGATATTCTAACACCGACAGTCTGTTTTTCTCCTGTTTTCCTAACCACCAGGTTTCTGCAGCTAACAGTAAAACTAGCCGAACTGCGCGACACACAGTTGACCCTTTATAGAAAATGAATGTCTAAATTTGGCAAACGTCAACCGAGCCTTCTGCTGTGAGCTGACACTAAATCCGCAATGCATCCACCGGGTGATATGAAGCTGCCTAAATAACAAAACTTATCCACTTGCACTATTACCACCACAGTTAGAATGAGGCTGGGTGCTGGACCAACCAAGTCTTGAAGTAACATTTTGCACTTTGAGGGTGCAAAACGCGTACCGAACCTGACTACGGTGGTACTCGAGCGGTCAAGAAAAGCTTGCAACTTATCTGGACGTTCACCTAGCGGCACAATGTCGTTCGCATACTCCAGATTATACAGTCTGCCAGTTGGGAGTAAATTGATTCCACTATCCTCGTACGGGGATGAGGTCTGCTTCCATAATCAAATCCATAAAGTTAAATCGAAAAGGAGAGGGTAGCCCTTACGAACACTACTTTGCGTGGCGAACTGAGGCGAGGCCGTAAACTTGGACGCAGCTATTGGTATCAACCCTCTAAAAGCCTCAGTATAGTCGGGGTGGGTGTCTAAGGTTGCGGCTGATCACCCTGCTCTTGCACCTAGCGAAATGCTCCCGTACGAACAAGCGTCTCGAATAGCACTGCTGAGGATGCTCTACTCACTGCCTTCTCGACGCATGGAAGTGCATGCTTAGTTATTGCTTAAATTGAAACTGGTAAACAAAGAAAATGAGCAGCGTCAACCTACACAGAAGCAAAAACTTATCCCGATAACATTTAAACCACAAAAGCAATTCGCTTTTCACCGCAAAAATTGTAAATACTGTGTGTACCACTCATATTCATCTGGTCTCAGACCTGTAACTAGATACAAATGACATTCACGCGGCCCGACTGCATACGGAAGACGTTCCAAGTAGTGGAGTTTACATATCAAAACGACATGTGAAGATTGTGCAAAACAATACCACTTCAAGGTGCAAGCCATCCACCCAAAGGCATATGAACAGTGTCGAGCTGTTCTGCAGCATTACCAGTGAAAAGACGCCTGTGCGAGGTGGCCGCATTCCAGGAATTTGGCTCCGGCAGAAGTGAGAAAAGTTGAAGTGAAATGAGGATGTATTGAACGGTTTAAACAGATTTGTATGGCCTTAGTTGTAGGTCATATATCTAGGGGTAGCACTGAATTTGGCATAAGACTTGATGACTTTATTCACTGCCTCCAAGAAGTCTTTTTCTGTTGCCATCTTTCGTCGTGCTCGGATAGCGTACATGCCAGCCTCCGTACAAACACTTCTGATTTCGGCACCTGCGGGATTGGAGAGAAAGAATACGAGACATGAATGTCAAAATAACAAAATGGTTGGGGTGGCATAACAGTGACTTAATTTGCTTGGTCCAACTCATACACATAACAGCTTGTTAGCTACGTGAACGACCTGTTTTTTGCCCGATTTCTTTGTCTCCTACAAGTGTTAATGAGTAGGCTGGTTATCTATTAAAATAGCGATTTCACTTATCACTGCCGAAAGTGAAATGTGTAGAAAACGGGATAACTAATGCGAACAACGAAGTGTGCAAAGTCGAGAGATACATAGAAACCCATCGTAACTGCTTGATCTGTTAGCAACTGAAAACACGAATGTTGCTGTCTGTCGGAAGTTGTTGGAAGTTGGTACCACAAAGAAACGATGGGTGATGTGAGCGAAAACTGAAGTTGCCGGAGTTATGCGTTCTCTAAGAACGTGGTAACCAGTGGTCTTATGGACGTTCACCGAATTTTTTCATCTGTGTTGAAACCACCAATGAGAAGTATAGCAGAGCTTGTAATTTTCGACTGAGTTCACCACAAAAAGCGGTGTTCATCAGCGTTGCCTTCCGTTCTCTTTGTTTATTTAATGTTGTTACAGATATAACTCTAGATACAGCCCTGTCTCCAAGCGAGGATAGCGGTATCGATTTGCTCCCAGGTACCAAACTGCACTGTAGGCAGCTTTGCTGTCATCCGATTCAATACCAAGCCTAATCTATCGGGGCCTTACGTGATTCGCCACTCCAAGTCCCGGAGCTTATATTACCGGTTTCCACCACTGAACAACAGGTCCTCGTGACTATAGGCCTCGCCCCGTCTGCAGTTCATTACACTTGAGTGGAGTATGCAGACATTGTACTTCTGGATTGAGATAACCCTGGATCCATCGCAACATCAGGCTATCTGTGAACGGCCGAGTGTATGCTAAATTAGTTTAGCCAGTTTTGCTGTACCGCACAGACTTATTCACTGCGAGAACAAGATAAACTGTCGGTGTTCGAACACCGCCGTCTACGCTACATTGCACGAATCTGGTGGGGAAACCGGACAAATAATACTGAGGTAAAGTGCAGAGTTCTAAGGAACCACGGTCGCCCACTGGAGCAAGTGGTTGGCTTCCATAGATTACGCTGGTCGGAGCATTTTCTACGCCTGTCATTAAATAGGTTGCAAGGCACGCGAAGTTTTTCGACGAAGGCAGTGGGTGGGGAAAAAGTAGGGGTGGTCAAACTAAGGCCTCACACAAGGGCATGAAAACCCTGGCCAGGAAACCTGTACACGTAGGCTGTGTTAGGTTTCCTGAATGGGAATTTCGGGTTAATTGTAATCGAGGGTTAGGGACATACGAGTGTCGTTTATCTACTTACTCCAACGTCCTTGTAACCGTAGTCTATATCAAATCCGTAGTTTCACCTTAACACCGATCTGAATATCACAATTTACCCTTCATCCAATAGGGTAGATAAATCTGAATATTGACTGAGCCCTTGAATCACATCCCACACCAACGATTACTGACAGGAATCTAGTTGGCAAGTGAAGCTCCAGTTCACCCAACCAGTACAGTATCTGTTCCGCGCTGAGCAGCTCAATAAGCTTTCCCATGTGCGGAAATAGCATCTTATGGGAAGACCGATGTGATTAAGTGTCGTGGATTTCTAGGGTCCTGAAATTGTCTCTCCGAGGGGCAAAGGTTCAATTAATGCTACAAATTAGCTTGTTGGCCGATGTGCCTTGTGAGACTTCAGATTCGGAGGAGGTTTTATAATTCGCGATTTACATAGTGGCAAACTAATCAGCACTGAGTCGGCAGTTGATAAACAAATGATCATAAAAGAAGAATTCGGAAAGAAAAGGGAACAAAAACTCAACAACGATTGGGGATAAAATTTTAAAAAAAGAGTCAACTGTTAGGTCCAAAAATGAGAAAAATAAAAGGAAATGGTTAGGAAAATGGAAAGCACCTACTATGAAGTCAACACATTCACTGATTTCAAACCCTCTCACAAATTTGAATTCAGAATTACTTTGTTTTACCGAAGACTTGTAAAGAATGATAGTTAAACCCGAAAAGTTGGCATTTGCATTAGTTAACTAAATATATCCTGAACTCCAGGGAAGCCCATAGTACCATTTGGTGCATTGTTCCATACTATAACTATTATATATATATATATATATTGCGTGTGTAGCTGTAATGCATCCACTTTGTGCCTATCTTCCTTGAAAACGAAAATATAGGTTTGTGACTTACCGGTGCTGTTCGGACAAAGTCGAGCGAGCAACTCATATCGAATGTCTTTCTCCACCGACATAGATCGAGCGTGAATTTTAAATATATGTGTTCGACCTTCGAGGTCTGGGAGACTGAACTCAACTTTGCGATCTAGGCGACCGGGACGAACAAGGGCAGGATCCAGAGTATCAGGTCGGTTTGTGGCCATGAGGACCTGCAGTCAAGTGAGAGAGGATAGGTTGCACTGAGTACTATGGTTGAAATAGAATAGAATGAAGTGAACGGTGGATATTGTTTGCTATTTACTCCAGCTATAACCGGTTCAGTGTAAAAGGAATTTTGGGTCGACTACTACAGTGTTAGGGCGGAGCTCAAAGAATCCGCCAAGCCGCGCATGAATCTCCGTCACGTCACAAGCACGCTCACGACACACAAGGCAAGTCGAGCACGGAACGCATGACTACAGAACAAATCAGACAGTGGCTGTACGGTCAACCAAACGGAGTGGCAAGAGAGCAACCTCCTTGGCATTGCTACTTCCTCGTGTGCCCAATTTACCCCTCATATATGAGTATCGTACCTTGATCATTCAATTTTTTTATGTTTACACGCATCTGAATCCAGACTGTACCAAACAAATCATGATACAATAATCTATATGCAAAAGAAAAACGTTCTATGATTGATCATAGAATACGCTGACTGTTGTCTCCAGTCCTGTTATCTCTTCCGCGTTGTTGCTGGGGTTTAAGCAAGAGGCGTTCGTGTTGATAGTAGACACAGGGCTAATCCAAGACGACATTCATGGAGCTAACATGCACAAGAAGAAACTACGGCAGACCGGTGAATACTTCAAGCGGAGAAGGCAATGATCAGAGACAATGTCAGAGAAATTGAGGTACATTGATTAGGCGGTGGTTAGCCGGTTAAGTTATCAACTTACCACCTCTGAGGGTGTGCGAATCTCATCAGCTTTGCCTAATTCCACTTGTTTCTGTCTCGTATGGTAGCCCTTTGAACGGCCACTTTCCACTTCCAAAAAATTGTTTACATCATAATACATATGCATACTGTTGACAAAGTATTGAAAATCGGTTCTCGTAGCTCGGGTGAACTGAATCCAAGTCGCCCACAAACCAACCGCCTGTCTAAGGAGACCTCTCTCAAGACCAAAGGAGAAGGACAAGAACAGTGTTAACTACAAAATAAACTGTAAGAACTGCCCAAAATACTATACCGAAAAAACTGGAAGAAAACTGTCAACAAGAATCCGTAAACACCAATCGGCAGTCAGGAGACATGAACCACTATTGTTGATTTCCCTGCAGGAAGGTCAAGGACATCAGTTTGACTTCGAATCAGTGAAAATTATCGACAAAGCTCGGTCAAAGCACGCCTGAGAACTTGGTTTGGCACTCTTCAGACAGCTCAATAAACAGGCACATCGAGCTGGATCACGTGTACACGCCAATAAAAATCAAGGAGCAAACGACGCAACAAAAAGGTCACGCCGTGACCTGAGAACGGCCCGAAGTCGCGAGCAGGGTGGAAGTAGAACCCCCTCCCCTCCCACTCTCACCCTTCATAGCAGTTTAACGGCGAACCGAGTCCAAAACAGTGAGAACAAGGGACAAAAGCAGTCGGTGGAGAAGACCACATATATAAACGAACGGATCAGGCACAACACTGCTACTTCAAAAGCACTGATGATATCACCTAGGCTGGTTAGCAAACAAATTGCCAAGCCCGGAGAACAGGTGAAATGGAACATATGCATACGTTTTTAAGGCGAGCGCTGAGTCCATCGGTCACGTCGATCTTTTAGTTTCCTATAACTGATTGATGTTTTCGAATCACCGATGCGTCTACGGAGTTTTACTGTACCCTGTTTTGTCTAGTATCGCCCGGAAGAGCAGAGCTGTATGCTACCGAGCGCGTCCCCAGGTCGCGGATAGGGGAACGG